TATGGTGCTTTTATGGGAATGGACATGCTACTCTTCCACCAGCACCACTAGCACATAATCCTCTTAGGGGTGTCAATGAGGTAGAGGACAATGGGAAAAAAAGATGTGGACTAGAGCTTCACCAGATTCATCTGATCATTAGAGGAGTATTCTTTACCTTTCCTTTATTTTTTTTAACATTGAGAACAATGTTTTATTTATGTTTGGGGGGGTGAATTTATTTTTCTAGTCATGAATATTCTGTGAAAGTTTTAGATTTAATTTATTTGCATGCTTATCTAGATTTATAAATAATTTAAGATTAGTTGATAATTTAATTTAGTACTTGCTTGAATTTTAGGAATTTAGAGTAAAGTTTTCCCTATCCAATGATGATAACTAATGGTCTTGAATTTTTAGCTTTTGGTAAATAAGTTTTTTGTTTGGATTCATGCTAAATTCTTTTATTAAATATCATTGTTAGGATGTGATTTTTACAATTTTGAGCACTATATTTTTTGCTTTGGATTATTGTGAGTATCTAGAGAAGGTTTATATTGATGAGAATTTAAATTATGTCAAAAATTATAGAATTTGCTTGATCCTTCTTCGAGATGAAATTCTAGGCAATACTTAGTTAAGGAGATGATTTAGGCCATCTTGAAATTGTTTGAGACTAAAAAAGCCAACCTCAATATATTGATATCCTTAGTATACCCCGTTGAGCCTAATTTCTCATTTCTTTATTTACCTACAAAATAATTGAGCCTAGTCTTAAAATAAAATTTTGATTTTACAACCCTCATTCCTAAGCATGTATACTATTTTAAGAAATATAGAATGAGCTAAATGTTGAAAAAGGTGAAAATATGATGTTGATGTGAAAAAAAAAGAGTTAAAAATATATTAAAAATCACCTCACTACCTACAATACACAAAAATAAGTTTATAGGTGTGAAATTGTAAAATTTTGAAGGAAAAAAATGTGCTGAACAAAAGAAAAGTTGAAATATGGAAAAAAAAAGTGTATGAAGAGAAGAAAATAAAGCTATATATATAGGTCCTAGAATAATTATGAGTTTAGGGTGATTTGAGCCACATTATTATCCTTTATCTTACCCAGACCTTAGCCATACATTACAAGCTTTATAAAGTTCTACTAACCTAGCTTGGTGTTAGTTTACAACAGTGGATGTTGGTCCCAAATAAATGTGCTAGAGGGGGGGTAAATAGCACTTTTTGGCTTTCACTAAATTTGATTTCAAATTGGGAGCAAGGAGAAAGTCTATGATGAGAAGTTCGATGTAAGATGAAGGAATGATTTAACAAAGACTGAAAATTAGAGATAAAACAAAGTAAAAAATACACAAAGATTTATAGTGGTTCGGTCAAAGACCTACATCCACTACTCTTTTATTTATATTTGATGGTTTTAAATTGTTTATTTTATTCAGTTATTGATGCTTCTAATTACTTGATCATTAGTTAAATTGAATTGAAAACTTAAGTTAAACATTGACGAAGGAATTAGGTAGACCTTGAATAGAATGTCATATAATTGAATGCATTTAGTTAATTAAGTGGTTTGATTTGCATATAGGGTATAAATACTCTTATAAGTCATATGTAGCCAAGATTATATCACAAACTTAATGAATCTTTCTTCAAATTAATTTGTACATGCATATAGTAAATTAATCGATAAAGACTTGTAAATAAATTAGGACTCTAAGTTAGTAAGTTAATCCACTAAGCTAAGTTAAGAGAAAAAGATAATAATTAGATGAAGTATTAAGAGACATCATAATCTTAGGTATAAAAGTCAATCAAGTTTTAAAAAATAATTTTGCTGAGTAAATTTAGATTAGTTTTAGTTTAAGTTGATTTTATTTTGTTTTTTAATTCAATTTTCAGTGTTAAGATAAAATTAGGTGTCTAATTTTAGTAATTAATAGTAAGAATTAATTCAATTTCCTGTGGCATCAACACTCTACTTATCATCTTATTATATTTACGATATATATACTTGCATGAGTAGAAAATAGAATAACAATGAGAAATAGAGAAAAGATAATAAAGAAGAAAGAGTTAACTTAATAATAACTCGACCAATAAATGAAAAATGAAACCTAATCATTTTTCACTAATATTACGTTTGGTTAACGGAATAGATAAAAATAGAATAGAATAACTATTCTATGAGAATAGAATAGAATAGCTATTATATAGTTTAATACGATGAATGGAATAGGTCAGGAATAGTTATTATAGTTTATTGTAGTATTTGGTAAGTAAAAATAACTTTGGAATAAAAAGTGAATAGAGTATAAGAAGACAAATATACCATATGTGTGTATATATATATGATTATTTATTTTTATTTTATATTATTTTTTAAATATTAATAATATATAATTTGTTTAAAATATTAATAATTGATCATTTAAATATTAATATTTTATTTATATTTTAATCATTAATATTTTAAAATATTAATATTTTTTTATAATTTAAATGTTATTAAGATTTTTTATTTTTATTCTTGAAATATTAATTTTTTATAATTTAATTAAAATATTCATAACTTATAATTTAAATATTTACATTTTTAATTATAATTTAATTATTAATATTTTAAAATATGAGTATTTAATTTATAATTTAAATGTCATTATGATTATTTATTTTTATTTTATTTATTTTTTAAATAATAATAATTTATTTTTAATTTAAAATATTAATAATTGATCATTTAAATATTAACATTTTATTTATAGTTTAGATGATATCATGCTTAAAATATTACTTATTTTAATCAATTTTAAATTTAAAATATACTTTTTTTATATATTATTAAAAATGTAAAAATTTTTCTTTTTGTAATAATATTAGGAATTGATAATTTAAATATTAATATTTTATTTATAATTGAAATGTTATTATGATTAAAATATAAATAATTTTAATTAATTTTTTAAATTAAATATAACTTATATAATATATAATTTAAATTGTAAACTTTTTTCCTGTTTATAATAATATTGATAATTGATAATTTAAATATTAATATTTAAATTATAATTTAATCATTTATAGTTTAATTAATTTTTAAATTTAAAATATTATTTTTGTAATATATAATATATAATATTTTAAAATTTTAAAAAATATTTAGATCGTTATCTTTTTTTAAAGGTATTCCTTAATTAAGAAATAGTTAATATCATGGGAAGTGTTGACATTAATTATTTCTTAATTTTAACTTATTTTGATAAATAACTATTCTAGAAAAATGACTATTCCTTGAAACATGCGGGAAGCAAACTAAGGAATATTTGTTTCTTAGGAGTAGGGATTAGTCATTCCCTCACTCGATTCTATTGTATACTGTAGAATATAAAACAGAAAAGACAAAGGATAGTGAACACGTTGCACTACTGTCGGTTGAGGTACATAAGCCACAAGTAGAATCACTACACGTGTTAGCTATTAGAGGAAACAAAAAGAACACATAATAATAAAATATGCTTGGCATAAAGTTACGAGCTGTCACGACGAGACATCATCTTCTTCATTTAAATCTTCCAGCTTGGCGCCACGCATCAGGAGCTTAAGGCTGATCTCAGTTTTAACAAAAATTAACACCTATGGCTCATCTCAAGCTAACGCTGGTCCTGCTGGGGCAGGAGGAGGAATCCAAAATCATGAAGGAGGTTCATCGCTGGCTTCTCAAGTATATTTGGTGCCACCACAAGCCTTAGTGGGAAACTATGGGCAATCCCTGATGGATTCCAAACGGCTGCCTCTCTTGGGATAAACAATATTGTGGTTGAAACTGACTCCTAGATGACTATCCATTCAATGGAGTATAATATCACTGTTAATCACTCTTATGGCTCCCTTATTGATGTTTGCAGATGGCTCGGGAGCAAGATTTCGTTTTGTTCAATAGGCCTCCTGATTGTGTTTCTCTTGCTTTATTAGCGGATGTTGTAGGGGCAACTCACCCCAGACTCAAACTATTGGGACTCGGTCCCATATTGATGTTTCAGTTAAAGCTATTTTATTTTCAATGAACTTACCTCCTTTAACCAAAAACAAAAATAGTGAGAGTTTTAAATTGACCAGCAAATCCTCTGCGTCAATTATCCCTCTCACAGGGTATAACCTTGTAAGAATCAAAACACATATCACAAACGCAAATCATTCACTTGCAGCTCAGGTGGTGAAACCTCTAAAGACTTTTAAATGCGTTTTGGATAACTTGGGCAGCTTCTGCTGTAAACTCTTTTGTGTCTTTTGCACGAATAAACGAGTCCTGACTACCAAGTATCTAATGACATGGAACAAGTACTAGCGCAGAATCAAATAATCTGTCTCCGAAGAAGATTCATACATTATTGGAACTTACTTGAACAAGGCTACATAATTTTTTGAGAGGGAAAACGCTTACATAAATTTGCAACTTCAAAATGCCACGGCTTAAAAGGCTGTAAACATTCTAATTTAGGGGATAAGCATTTTTAATCACTCAAAACCATCTATTTGAAGGTGTTGATGGAAACAGCACATACTACTCCCATGAGAAGGAAAGTGTATGGTGAGTACCACTTGACGATGACCCAGGATGCCCAGTCTGAAACATTTCGTTTCCGTGGAAATTGGTGTTACTACTGCCATCCGAGGCCAAAATAGATCCTACTTGCTCACCCTCCATTCCTAGATCATTATATTGCAAGTTTTGGTTCAAGGATGAAGCTGGGCCAGACTGCACCATGGGGCAGGGGCTCAAACCAATCTCCCCAGTCTCAGCCGGTTGGGATGACAGAAGAGAGAGAGCACAATTAGAGTTGATCACTTGGTTTAACCCATTTGAGAACATTTTCCGGCTGCTGCTGCCATTGCCTGATGAAGGATTGGCATCGAGAAACGGTTGACAAACAGAAACTCCAGGGAGTGACAAACTAGTGCTTTGTAAGAAGGAGAAGTGCTTTTCTTCTTTGTAGTTTTGAGATGAGGATCCAGGGAATAAGCTATTTCTGCTGCTGAAGTTTAACTCTGACTTTATATCAGTTTCCATTTTCACAGACCCCACCCAAGACGAGGTTACAGCGGTAGTGGAAAATATTTGGTGGTTACAGAATGGTAAGTATCTAGCACCTGCAGCAGAGTCTCATTTATATCAAACAGAGCAAAATACATCACATTAAGCTACTACATTGGAATACAAAGGCAGCGGCTTTGATTCTTTTGCTGCTCATGATAAATGAAGGTAAGACAAGTTTCTTATTTGAACAAGAAAATCCAGTCAAACCTTGGTGATTGGAAAGAAACCTTCCAGAATTTACAGATAGAGAATCAGGTTGAGGCTTTCTTCGACGTCGGTTGTGTCCATCAAGACGTTTCCTACAGCTCCGTTTCCCCTCATCAAACTCCACTAATGAATGAAACCTAATATAATGCATTCAAGAGAAACTAAGCTCTTATCTTTATCAAACGAAATATACAACAAAAGGAATGAGGGCAAGGGGTAGAAAATCTCGTAAGGAGAATATCCCACAAAAGCATCTATTAATCAGAATTCATGATGCATAGGGCAAATATTGCTCTGTCAGAAAATCAAGAGATTCTACACACACGAATTCAAGTGTCACAAAGGACAGTTTTAACGCAGATTTAAGCAGATGCATCAATTACGTTACTCTGATATCATCTTTAGAAATTCTGTTTCTTCATTACAATGTCTTCTCCAATCATAGGTTTCATCCCTTTGCTCTGTAATTAAGTGCACTTAAAACAATGGACGTTCACAACAAAGAAGAGCTGTTGTCAAATTGAGAAATGTTTTGGACATGAATATTGCAAATATCAATTCTAGATTTCTTGTGGAAACAAGCAATTGCACATTGTAGGATGAGGATGACTTCAGACATTAACATTGAAGCCTATTTCATGATAATTAGAATCATATATCATTGAGCATATCAGATACTGAAACACAGCCAAACACACACAAATAGAGTTTGTTGGATGCTGAAACTCAATATCTCAAACACTTATACACAAAACATGTACCAAAAACAAATTGTACTAGTAAGTGGTTATTAAGCCAAATTGACTCAGAAATTTCATCGTATAACTACAATTTCATGCAAAGAAAATCAAAACAGCCAAATCATATTCATAAAGCTAAAATCACTGTAAAATACCAGAGTTATGAGTATATCAAAATTCAAATACGATGGTGGACAGAGCATAGAAAAAGGCACCTTGAATTCATTCTTACTGCACATTTCTAAAAATCAGTGACCCAAGAAAAAATAAAACTAGAATGCTAACAGTTAGTGTGTCAGGTAAATGCTTAAACAACCCCAACTTATAACGTAATGGATAGATGGCAACTTTAAAGGCCAACTAAGTAATGACACATTGCTAAACAAAAATCAAGAACAATAGAAATATTAGCGAGATGAGGAACCCGACAGAAACGTAATGTGATTAGGAAAATCAAATCAGGTCCATCTGCATAAAGCAAAGCATTACTACCTGCTGCACTGCTGGCAAAATCGTTGTTCCTGACCCCTAATTGTAACCTTTGGGGTCTTAGAGTGGACTTCGCATACTTTATGGCGTCGATGATAGTCCCTGCATTTGCTGAGGTCTGCAGTGCAACCATCAACCAAGCATGAAGGTACTTGGTTTCCGCTGCCAGGTGCCCGAGCCCTTTTAAATGAAGCAGCTGATGATGACTCCATCAAAGGGACCCCAGGACCCTTAAAAAGTATCTTCAAAGTCACCCAAACTCTCAATACAACAATGCTAAGTAAGCCTGATTAACTTACTAAGCTACCGGACTTAACAGCTTAAATGCTGCTGCAACATTCAGCTTACCTTCAATCCGCCTCACGTCACAGCCCATCAACTTTTCCGTTTTTCTTATTTGCCATTCTACATTCCCATCACTTTAACCAAATTCTTCTCCAACTGAACTTAAATACCTGCTCCAAGTATCAAATGATTATTCCTAATACTATATGAACAGAAGTCGAATCGAAGCAAAAAATTCCCTGACTAGAATATTGGCTTGCACAAAAAAATAGCAGATGATACCTTTTGTTCCAAAATTATAACAACATAAAGGTACACCCCGGAGAGTTAGGTGTTCTATATACTACTAGTATCTTTTTTTTCTTCTTTCTTTCAAGAACAATTAGTAGAAGGAGATTGGTCGGTTTGAAACACATAATGTGATTCCTACTACAAGTGAGTCACATACGACCGAATCAGGAGTAGTTGACAATTAAAAGCAATAATAATTAATAATGATAAGTTTAATTGTAGAAATGAAATCTTCAAGGTGGATGCACAGTTATAAATGTCTGAAAGAATCATTGACCAAACCACCCATTCCAATGGAGGAAATTTAATTAGGCTCCCTTCCTAGTCCTAGTTGCAGTGTCCAGGAAGCAACACATGAGGATTGAGGAAGGAAGAAGATGTAGGTAAAGAGTGAAGAGGCTAAAGGAAGGCCTTAATGGTCATTGCATAACTCCCCAATCAAGTGCAACTTTTATGGTATTCAGACGCTGCATACCTGTCACATCATTGGAGTCAGCACTCGCATCCCAACCACAAGAACTCACCAAGATATTTTTGGAAAGAAAGAAAGGCCTTCAGCACAAAATTATTATTTTCCAAAACAAAACTCAGATTAAAAATCCCAATTAGGCTTTAACAAATTAAAAATAATTCATCATTTGTAATGTTGTAAGCGGATTTTTGGGTAGGAAGTTATGCTTGCACGATGAGAGCTAGAACTTGTCCTTAATTAGTATAGTAGCAGTATACTTTTTTACCGAGTATTGCCCAAAGTAGAGAACAATTTTTCCTAGAAGGTGGAGCAAAAGTTGCTATTACCACTTTCATTGACTAAAAAAGGGGGACCATATGGGTCTTCTTTACCCGTTAGTAACATAGTTATCATTGCAAGGAGTAGAGGCAAAAAAATCCCCTACAATTTATATTTTATATTTATGGTAGGCATAAAATTATGATACATCGATTCAGTATCGAAGAATTTCGGTTGTGAACTTGGAATATATATCCACACACATTACATAAAATAAAAAAGGGACAGTTAAGAAAAGAAAAGTTGTGGAAAAAAGGGTACCTGAGAGAATCCCAGAAATCTAGCACAGGAGAGGAAGAATCTTATCTTGGTAACTTCTATACTGCCAGTTTCAGATAAACCGTCAAAAGGGGAAGGGAGAAGTGGCAAAGTTGAAGTGAAAATTTAGTAGGACTTGGAGAACTCGGAAAGTGCGGAAGCAGTTGTCTACAAGCTACAGAAGTTAAAGAAACATGGAAGGAAAGAAGAAGACAGGCCTTTCAAATCCTAGCCATTAGTATTCTGACAGCAGTTCCAAGGAAAAAGTCTAGCAATTGCAAAGAGAGACAAATAGTAGTAAGTTTGGCTGGCTTTCTTGTAGCAGGACAGAAGAAGGGGCTGAGCTAATCTATCACGGAATTATTGGAAGTAACACAAGAGAATGGATAATGTATTCAACTCATGTGGAATACTGCGGAGGTGTGTACCTGTGTGAGTGAGAGAGAGAGAGAGAAAGAAAGAGAAAAAGAGTCAGATTGAGATATGAAATTGGCAAAGGAAGTATATAACCATGAAAGGTAAGGGGTTTGATCTTTCCAACTCTCTTTCCTTCCTTTTTAGGCTTGGAGCCTTGAAACAAGTTGAATAGTTACTATAAAAATATTAATAATGGGAGTAGAAAATTGAGAAAAGAAAGAACACAAAAGAGCCAAAGAAGAAAAAGAATTTAAAAAAAAAAAAACGAGTGGCAAGGAAAGGGACAAGGTGTAGTTGCTTTTAACTTTTCAAGCGAGAAAAAGGAAAAGTACAAGGGGAGTGGAAAAGAGTTTCTTGTGTTCCACATCCCATGATGTTTGTTCCTTCTCGGGTCTTTCCTCTTTACTCTTTGGGTTCTTTGAGTAACCCCGAGCACATGCGCCTTCTTGGTCTCAAACTCTTATCCGTTGGATTTTAAGACAACAGTTTCGGAAGCCTTCTTGTCTTCCAGATTTCAAGTCAAAACCTTTGAATTATGCGAAACCCATAAGCATACTACAGTTTATCTCCGGTTTATTTTCTTCACCCCCAGCCAAGGCGGTATACTGATGTCCAGAGTAGCAGCAATTACTTGCACCAATTTAATGTGGTATACTGGTAGTATTCGACTAGGGCAGCGTGAGCTTGATTACACTACCATGAACAATTACTACCCGAATATATGGGATACTTGCCCTTACAAAATTGGACTATTACGTTAATTTACACCAATACTAAAGACCTTTGTCTTGAGAAAAATGTTTTCAGAGCTTTGTTGCATGAAATGGTGGGTTGCTAAGTCGAGGAAACATGAATGCGTGAATTTGAAGTAGGAAGTAAAATGAAGGAGAAGACGTCATTGATGGATGGTATTGTATAATATGGTAGGCGCCGTCCGACATGCATAGGCATTATTTATGGTGGTATTGTATTCTTTTTTTTTTTTGAATCTTAGTAATACGTCCAACTCCATTCAATTCTTTTTCTAAACTAGTTTTATTTCATAGATGCAAGCACATGCGTGATTTTAAATATCCTTTTTCTGTTGAAATTTGAAATTCAACGAAGCAAGAATGTGAACACTTCTTGATTAGGGTAAAGGGTAAAGAGGTTTCTCCTAACATTTTCTATATGGGTCCTTGGCTTCCCCAGCTCGTGCCATGGCTTAGCTGGAAAGAAGTCCTAATTTGTCTTTTGCTTGAGAGCAGGAAGGGAGCAGCGGTATTGTCATATGTGGAAATACAGGCAATGAAGACTTTTTGTGTTACCATGATTTTAATGGAGGAGAAATCGAAAACATGTTTGATCGAATGTGGAAAAACCGTGTCGCATTAATTCGTAGATCGTTCCAGCAAAACGTCAATTACCAACTACTCATGAGTCGGTGCAAGGATCCATACCCCATACCCCATAAGTAGGATTTCAACCGCTGGGCTTCACGCCTTAAAGGCGGACGCACCCCGTTTATCATTGAAGTGGAACAGAGCTTTTGGGCTAAAAGCTGCGTTTCCATCTCACCTCAATCCTAAACACGTAAAACATATTGGCTTTTGACCCCTCAAGTCCGGTTCCGAGACAGCGACGCCAAAGCAACTCAAGTGCTGCTTTTCCGTTTCAATAGCAATATTTTTATCATTTTTAAAATTTTTTTACGTATCTTATTCAAAAAAATCACTATATTATTAAAAAAAATTAAATAAACTTTAATTTTTTATTAAGTTTAATAAATTTTTTGTTTTAGATGAATAAACCTTCAGTTAAAATATCACTTGTCATATGATACTAATACATCATTATGTGAAAGTTAAAAAATACAACATGATTATTTTATCATGTTAAATTTACATGTTATGTCAGTATCAAATGATATATCAATATGTTACATCATCATTAATTAAAATATTTTAACATGTCACATTAATACTATAAAATATAAAATAATAAATGATATTTTGACTAAATCAATCATTAATCATGATAGTTTATTTGATTAAAAATAAAAATATAAAATTATTTGAATTTTTTAAATAATTTAAAAACTTTTTTTACATTTATGCCTATTTTAAGTCTTTACAACATTTTTTCATAACAATGATAAATATTAAAAAAATAACTTCACTCCATTAGATAACCATAAAATAACTTGATGAACAAATTCTTCTTATTGTAAAATATTTTATTGAAAAAGCTTTGAATAAAATGTCGAAAATATTTTCACTTGTTTGAAGTATATTGTATTTTTTTTTAATGTTGCAAATTCATTGATACGGGGAAGAAAAGGTTCATCAACATTAATAAAACAAAACCAAGCAAAAATCTGAAATTTTGAGGACTTTGCCCACACATAGAACCTAGGCATTGTTCTTCAAACTTCCAACAGTCTCCACTCAAGCACCTATACACAAAAATCCACCCTTCTACATGAAATCCAATTGCAGGCTAATTTCTTACCCACACAAATCATAGCAAGAACAAAACCTTCGTAGCAGGACACCTTACAAATCACATTGCTCACATCAAGACACAAAACATGAACAGAGCACAACCTAATCATTCCTCTCTTTGTAAAACATATGGCCAACATTCTACCTTTCCTAACAACCTGCACCGAGTCAATGGCCCACGCAACACAACATAAGAACAAAAACATACCTAAGTTCATTTCACCACACCCACAGAGTGATTAGAAAGCCTTTTATCGCCAGGTTAGTATCTCGCCAAACAAGCTTGCCACGTTAAGTTAGAATTGTAGCCACTCAACACAAGTAGTTCTCAGTCAAAAACGTTTAATTGATTAATTTGCCTTTGCACTCCCTCTGTAGATAATTTACCAACAATATGATTAGCCTCTCTCAAGGCATGGACAAATTTTCAATTGGCAACTTTGACACTTCAATCGCTCTAGTTGCAGCACTCATTTTCTCAACTTCCATGGTGTAACAGATGCATTATTGACCCAATTGTCACGACCTATTTTGGAAAACCCATGACCTGTGCGAGGACTTAAATAGATATCGCCCACTAAGCCTAAGCAAGCCTTTCAATCAATCCATGAGTGGGCTAGTCATCCACAACATTCATCACATGAACATTCCATGAATATAAATTCATACATGCATAGGTGCCATCACACAGTTATTGAACTTCTTGACATAAAGTGTAGGAATGCTTTACTTATTATCAACATTTAATTGCACCGTTGGTGCTTGTATGGGCTCTCAAGTCATCATCATTCACATTCGTATAAGTTCATACAAGTATATTGCCATCCCTTGGCTTCACAGTCAAAGCATATCCAAGTATATATAAACAAAAATGTAAAAACCGACTCGTTAGCGGAATATGACTTGATCCTCTAGGTTGTAAGTGACTACTAGAACACTTACCAAGAAGGAATAGATCATGTTTCCATGACACTTGCTACTATATATCTCTACTCACTAATCTGTAAAAAAAATGAAAAACTAACATGTGAGTCAGAAAAGCTCCGTGTGTGAATACAGAAAAGGGACAAGCTAAGAAGAAGAATTTTTGCAATAATCCATGTTTTGTAAAAACAACATGAGTTCACAAACATCATCATAGTTTCTTTCAAATATTCAATAACATCATTTTAAAATATTTCTAATAAATGCAATTGAAATCCATGATACATAAACGATTTGATAAAACAGTTATAGCTTCAATTACAAAACATTTGCAAGTTGAAAAACGCGTGAGTTCACATCACGAGTACCGATACTAGTACCTTCACCTGGGGTAACGGTATGCATTTTCACACAACCCGACCATTGGGCATTATCTCTTATATTGAGATCTAAAAGTACCATTCAAGTCTTCATACTGACTAGTTCTATAATATTCATCCAGCACATGAACATGTAACTTAAACAATCACACACATAATTATTTCATACAAGTACAATATCATGGAACTCACTTATGTATAAAAATCACAATACCAAATTGTTTGCTAAATAAAGAGTTAACTCTTATCATTGACTATATTGAGAGATAGGCATGCTCATCTGAGTCACGATTATATGAGTGTATGGTTTTCTTATCCTTACATCTAGCTATGATAATGTGTGGCCTTCTCACCCTCACAATACCACACCCACATCTAGCTCGAACAACGTGTGGTATTCTCACCCCCACATTTGGCTATATTCATGTGGTATTCTTACACTCACATCTAGCTATATTTATGGAGTGCTCTTATCCCCACATCTGACTATACAAAATACATACTTTTATAACACAATAGTAGTTCACAAATCATTTCAAAATAAAGGATTGACCTTTCTTTCAAAGGAATTGACCTTTCATGCCTTATCTTTAAAAATACATTCTTTTGGTTTCCTTTTCCTACCATTCTTTCATCTATCAAGCTCTCATCAATTCAACACAATACTAGGGAGTAAATTAACACAATATAGTTCGAAAAACTCATCCAACAACACAATTATATTAAGATAAACCATTCATTTGAAAGTTATAACCTTTTTCATTTAATGTAAGGTTGGTATTTCACACCAACTCATCATGTTGCAAGAATCACTTTCCACCATTAGTGTATGAAAACCCCTCTTCCCTCAATTTTGAAGCTACAAAGACTAGAAAAACCTTTCTAATAGCTAGGAATTCCATCAAGTTGAAATCCTTTATCCTAAGATCTTTAGACAAGATAGCCTTGTAGTCCTTTTTTTCATCTCTAAAAACTCATCTGATTCCCACCTTTCACAAATATCCCTTTGTCTCCCCGTCCATATTAAACTTCAATTACGTTTTCATTGGTTTCTACCATTCACTCACAACTCTAACCTTCTAAGTTTTTTCTTTTTAGTTACTAACATTTGTCATCTTAAAAATATCCATCACACTCCTATACTTCTCCAACCACTTGGCATTTACCCATATCGCCACTCTAAGCTTGGTTGTCTTAAAGGCTGCTCAACATCCAAACACTTGCCTCTGTACACAATTTCATTTCTATTTAGCCACACAGTTCACACTATAGCAGAAAGACCATCCGCCAAACTCTAAGGTCACTTCCTTTTAAGTTGATCCTATTTTGAAACATAAATAACGATTTAATGTCCTTTATAATGCACTAATAGTATTCCCAAGCTCTACACCACATTGACCATATTTTCCAAACTTTCAAAAACGGCACAAAAAAAATGATCCACTGATTCAAATTCTTTACTACATATACTACATATGGCAA